ATGTGAGATTGTAGTCTCTTTTCAAGCCATTTCTAAGGTAGCAGCAGCAAATTAAGCTTTTGTGAAATTAGTTTTCTTTATTTAAAATCTGGTTTGATGGAGAACTAGTCCTTGTGCAATCTACTTTCAAACACTTGCCACTGTTCTCACAGCGAAGGGAAGAAGGAAAGTGACTTTTTTTCCCTCCACTCTCCCTGTCCTAAAATCAGTACTAGCAGTGGTGAAAAATCAGCAAGGTGCTTGTAAAGGAAAGGTTTTCTTCCAACTGGGGGAACTTGTGATCCTAGCAGTTTGAACTGTTGGAAAAGTCTGTGGTGCAGTGTCTATTTTTTCTGCCACCCAATGAGTGGGTTACACCCCTTGATCCCTCGAGGGCACTTCCAGAACAAATGGTCTGCCCTTGAATTCCTTGATTTCCTCCCCCCTCCTCCGCCCTGCCGCCGCCTCAGCCAACACAGAAACGGGAAGAAAAGAGCGCCCATTTTACGCTTGTTTGATTCTATTCCTCTTCTACAAGTGCTCTCTTTGCTTCAGCTGTCCCAAGACAAGCATGCCCAGATGTCCTGTTTTAATGAGGTTCCTTTTCTGTCTGTGCCTCATGTATAGGTCCCCCCCCCCACCCCGGCATGCTCCTTTCTCAGCCCCCAGCCCCTAAGTGATCAGTCGGAGCAGTAGCTTACCCTTTCTTTGCACTCCACAAGTGGGGTTTTCTCTGAATTCTGGCTATGGGGTGGGTGGGGTGTGTGGGCGCGCAGTGAAATGGGGGAAGACAGGACATGGAATGCTTAAAGAGGACCTTTCTAATGTCATACATCACACAGGAAGTTAAGACAGATTTTGCAAGCAGAAGCTCCCCTCGGTTTATTTTTCCTTGTTCACTGGCAGGTGTCAGCCAGCCTGGCGAGGGAGGGAGCAGCATGCTATCCTGGAGGACTGGGAATTGCACTCCCTTTGAGCATCAGTATAAATTTCAATGGCCTGTCATTTTTTTTTTTTTACAAAATCCCCCAGGGCCACCCTGACACCTCTGGGCAGGCCTTGGGTGATGGCTCCTCCTCGTTCAAAGCCTTTCATCTACAGAGAAGGCCTGTGTAAATGAAATGCCCAGTGTACTAATTAAAGCTGCAGAGCTGCCCCTAGCAGATTCCCTCTGAAGCTCCGTGCGCTTTGCTGCAGCCTGTATGGTGGAGGCTGGGGGACCCGGAGGCTCTCGAAGGTGGTCAGACCTTGGCTTCAGCCTTAGACATTGGGAAGCTTCCCAAGGCTTGCTCCTGGCAGTTGTGGAATGTCACTCCTTCCCCCACCTCCAGTCTCTTACCTCTGAATGCACACATTGCCGTGACTACTGTTATGTGCAGATGGAGATGGTCTCAGGCATTCTTAAAGGGCAAGGCCGGGAACTTGCAGATGGCTTGAGAGAGCTGTTGCTACACATACATACCCTTGACAGCCTTGGAAACAGTCTCAGATGACAGGTGAGTGGAGTGGTGAGGAAGTATCAAGTATTGAACCAGCATCCATGATCTCTAAGGAAGCAATGTCAATGTAGCGATTCAAAGTACAGGAAACTTGAGGCTGACACTGTTGCATAGCAAGCTAATCTGTCTGCAGCACTGACATCCCATATGGGTTCTGGTTCAAGTCCTGGCTGCCTTACTTCTAGTCTAGCTCCCTAATGATATAAGTGGGAAACCAGTGGAGAATGGCCTAAATACCTGGACGATGCTCCTGATCTCTGGCTTCCACCCAGCCCAGACATGTGCTATTGTGGCCATTTGTGAAGTGGATTTATCGGATGGAAGACCTCCACCCCATCCTCTCTTTAGTTTGCCTTTCAAATAAAGAAATAAATCTTTAAAAAAAAAAAAAAACATTGAGGAGGGCCAATCTTAACAAGGTTTCCCAAAGGCCTTGAAAAATGTTGGCTTCACTTTAGATTTTTTTTTCCTTCTTCCTTGGCCTTTACAAAAATTACCCTCTTGACAACTTAAGGTACAAAGTGTTCTATACTTGAGATCCAGAAAGAGGGTAGATATTAAAATGTTCTCCACCAAAAATATGGAAAGGTTAACAAGCGGCCATGGAGCCATTATTTCACAGTGTGTGTATCTCAAACACCACCTTGGACCTGGGAAATCTGTTCCATTTGTACCTGTCAATTAGACCTCAAGAAAAGCTGGAAAAGTTTTAAAATCCCTGCTATGTAAAATGTTGCTCACTAAATATTAATTTATAAGGCTTAAAAGTGTCCATGGCCAAAAAAAAAATGACCATAAGACATATTGAAGGATTTTAAAGAGAAAAGCAAAGCTTCGTCATCACAGTATTCGTTTTTCACAATATATCCCTCCAAAGTGTTCCTCAACATATTTGAACATCAGCTGGATTACAAGAATATCGTAGTCCTCCCCCCTTAACTGTGGGAAATAGGTTCTGGGACCCACCACCCTGCTTCCTGCCCCTACCCCACACCCTGCTGCCCTGGGCACAGCACCAAAGCCCATCTTCCTGGTTGGGTGTCTGTCTTGAAGGAGTCAACCAACTAAGGGTGAAAATGGTCGGGAACAAACATGCCTGTAATGAACAAGACACACTTCCTGCTGTCATTATTCTCACAGCGATAGATAGCAACTATTTCCATAGCATTTACCTCCCATGAGGGATTACAAGTAACTTAGAGAAAATTTAAAAGTAGCTAAGATGATAAACATGGGTTGGCTACAAATGCTGCGGCCATTGAACTGGTTTTGATACCCATGGGAGGGCCCTGGAGGCAGTATCCCTCAGCCACTGTGGGATGACTGTACTGGTGCTTTTTCCTAAATACACATACGTGTGCTCAAGTTTCATTTTTACATTAGGCACAAGAAGAAGTCAACAAAAATAATGCTAATAAGGTAGAACAAGTAAAAACACTGTGTTGTAGTAAAAGTTACGTGACTCAGCCTCTCTCCCTCCATCCCCTGCTTTCCTTCCTCTCTCCTTCTTGCTGACTTTCTGCAGTAGTTGTTCTGATAAGCATGTCCAAGTAGGCAATTCTTGGGCTGGTGGTGTATACAGTGTGGATCTGTTGGGTGAAGGGCTGACTCCCAGCCCAACAGGGTGGTACAAGATTTCATCATGTTACTCAGAGCAGCATACAGTTGAACACTTATGGGCTGCTCGTTTCTTTCTGGAATTTTCCATTTTATATTTTCAAGTCATGGTTGATGGTAGGTAAATGAAACCATGGGAGGTGAAACTAGGTGAGAGGAACCTACTGGAATAAATGTGCCAAGTCTACTCATGCTTTTAAAAAAAAAAGTGGATTTACATCTTGCACTTGGTTTCCTCTCAATGCATACAAATCTGCTTTACTCTTTTAATCTGCATCTTATTCCGTCATAACACTAGTTGCTTTTAAAATCTGGTTTAAAATTGCATCCGTCTTGGGAGCAAAGAATAAGGGAGATGAAAAACAGGAAGGGACGTTGGAAGTTGGGTGAGATGTATTAAGAAACCAAAAGGTTAGTGAGGAAGACCATGCTTCAAAGCAGTACCAGTACATTTGGACAATTCTGTCAGTTGGACCATTTTGCTTAGTGCTTTGGGAAGCAAGCGAAGTAAAGGCAAGTTTTAGTTCAAAACCGCAGGTCAGCTCTTCCCAACACTTCTGTAACCAGAAACCATGCTTAATTTACTAAAGGCCTGCAAGGATTTAAATAGCACATGCAGAGAGCGGAAGAGTGGATGCTATTTCAACTCTGAAAAAAAGTTTGGCAAGCTGTTAAACCCAAGGCTGTCTTTTTTTTTTTTTTCAATCACTTCCCATGAGATTGGGGAGTGGAGTTTAGAACTGACAATGTTTAGTTCTTATCTATGCCTTGGAGATAAGGAATTTAGCAAAAAAAAAAAAAACAGTGAAAGGGTACATTTTCTGAAAATAATACCATAGGGCCACAAGGCATCAGCTGTGAGGTTAATTTAATATTGCTGATAGTTTGGGAAGCAGGGAATACAGGGCCAAAGTGCCAAGTTGGCAGATGTGTTTCGCCCATTGCGTTGTTAATAGTAAACTTCTGGGGGCATTTGTCTTGTAGCAGTGGACAGGAAAAGTGGCCAGCACACTTGGATATGAACAAGTCCAAGGAAACCCTTGGAGAGCCAGCATATTTCCCAAGAACATTTGTAAAGGTTGATAGTGAACTTTACCTGTCAGTAGGGTCTCTCTGCTTCAGGCATCACTTGGAGTCAAGAGAGACAAGATGGAGTTGGTGATGTCATCGAGGGCTCCATGCTATTTAAATAGACAGTGTTGTAGGAACATGAAAATGGAGGCCTATTCCTATCAGATAAAGAAGCTTTCTTTACATTTCTTTAGAACAGCACCCGAAGGCAATTGGCATTTGATGCTTTGTGATCTGTATATTCACTAATTAACTTTTCAAGTTGAATAAGCTGAATATCTTAGAATGCAACTTGAGAAGAAACGTGATCAGATGCTCCCTTCAACTTCTTTTTGCTGCAGAATCTTGGCCTTCCCCAAAGATGATTTTTTAAATTATGATGGCCAACACTTGAGTTTTTCAACCTCTGCTGCAATCATGTATGTTTTTCAGAGCATTTGTTTAATATCAGCACATATTTCGCATCATAGGACAGTTCATGGAATTCCAGCAATCCCATGCAAAGCTGGGGACTTTCAGTAAGAAAAAGATAATGCTGAATGTCAACCTTGCAGGGCCATTAAGAACTTCAAAACTGGCTGAGTGACAAAGGGTGCTTTGTGAAACACTGGACCAAAAACATAGCAGTAGGATTCATGACACTTCATCATTTGGGATTAGGAATATTAATGGATTCGATTCCAGACATTTATCGTTTAGAGACAAGCACAAGTGTGTAAAAATCAGAGTGCAGGGAGAGAATGCAGACTACTTGGCTGGTGCCAGCTGCAGTTGGTTTTCACTTTACTTGAGATTTTCTTTGCTAAACCTTCTTTGTATCTTCACTTTCAACAGATACAGCCAGAAGGCAGCACGGAACGGAATGAAGAATCAATTCAACCTCCACGAGCTGAAAATGAAGGGGCCTGAGCCAGTGGTTAGTCAAATCATTGACAAACTGAAGCACATTAACCAGGTATGTGCCTTACTCAGCAAAAGTAGAAATAGCCACAAAGGGAGCTGGATGCTCTTTGGTCTGTGTTCTTGGGCCTTAGGCAAGGCAGCTGTCTGTCTCTTTCTTCGATGAAGCACTCTGCTCAAAACTACTTGTCACTCTCATTGTTTGCCCTACTTTTGAATTCATAGAGACGATATTGCAGTAAGACAGAAAGTTTGGGAAATGGAGGTGGGGGAATGTGCCAGCCTTATGGTGCAGTGGGATAAACGACAATATATCACACTGGTATCCCATATTGGAGTAGGAGTTCTGCTCTTGGCTGCTCTGTTTCCAGTCTGGCTCCCTGCTCACAAACCTTGGAAAGCAGTGGAAGATTGCCCAGTTTGCCCATTTTGGAGACCTGAATGGAGTTCTTGGTCCCTGGCTCTATCCTGTCCCAACCCCAGCCATTACTGTAGCCTTTGGAGAGTGAACGAGTAGATAGGCTATCAGCCAATCAATTTCTCTTCTTTTTCTGTTTCCCTACCTCTCTCCCAACACTCTGTTTATCAAATAAATGTGTTTTTAATTAGAGAAATATTTCTTAAAATCCTGGTCCTGTTACATTTTTATATTCTTTTTATTTGCTGGTTGACTTGCCAAATGCCTGCCACAGCTGATGCTGCACCAGGCTGAAGCCAGGAACACAGATGTCATCTTGTGTCTTCCATATGGGTGGCAGGAACCCAAATACTTGAATTATCACCAGCTGCTTCCCAGAGCTCACATTAGCAGGAAGCTAGGATGGAAACAGAGCACTCAGGTACGCAGTATGGGAATCCCAGCCAACATCTGACCTGCTGTGCTAAAGACCTGTCCCTACTAGTTCTTCTAATATTTGTATAGAAAAAAATCACACTCTGACAGATATTTTACATAATTGGAAGTATACAAGTGAGTTTTTCAATTCTTCAAGTTAGTGCTGTGTTGGTAATGCTCTTTTGACATTGCTACAAATGTTCATATTAACCACTGTGGACTGTGCAATATTCTGTGCTGTATTTACCGTAATCGATCTGCTTTTTCTTGGACATTGACTTTGTTTCTAATTTTTTACTATAAACAAAGCTATCACTTCAAACACAGTGATTTCTTGTCATCTTACATTATTAGTGAGTATTTTAAAAAGTTTTTATTTACTTTACTTGAAAGAGTTACACACAGGGAATGACGGAGACAGAAAGAGATCTTTGATCCACTGGATCCCTCCCCAAATGGTTGTCATGGCTAGAGCTGTGCCAGTTCGAAGCTGAGAACTCACATGGGTGCAAGAGCCCAAGGCTATCCTCGCTGCTTTCCCAGGCCATAAGCAGGGAGCTGGATTAGAAGAAGAGTAGCCAGGACTCAAACCAGCGCCCATATGGGATGACAGCACTGCAGGTGGAAGATTAGCCTGTAACACCACTGCACCAGTTCCCCACATTCTTGGTTTGTAAACTTCTGAAGTTATTGGGTCGAAGGATATGAGCCTTTCAATGCCAGTCCCCAAATTGCCTCCCAGTGAGAATGTATCAGTTTTCATTTACCAGCAAGATAGGCGAGGTCCAGTTTCATTGCACCCCTGCCAGCTTCTGACTCACTGCTGTGCACAGACACCCACAGAATCCCTTGACCTGCACACAGAGTCCTCCCCCCCCCCCACCGTAAGGAGTTTAGTAACAAGACATAAATAGAAGTTAGTTGTACCATCTGCTTGTGATTACTTTGTGGCCACAATAAAAAAAAATGCCACCAAAAAGGCCACCATATGTCAGAGTGACAGTGTTCCTGCCCCATAATCCGTGAGTGGGAGGGCCCTGGCTTCATGAAGCTCTATTTGTAGCTCAGAAAGAACTTAATGAAACTCAAATCTTTATGCAAGGAGTACGGTTTCCGTATGAAAGCATTGGCATGATGTTGTTTTTAAATGCAAAGTTTGGCAGTGACATTTTTGTGTTGCTTTGAAAATGTTTCAAAGAACTTCTACTGGTACATTTCAACACAATTGCATTGTGAACATATTGACAATATGCTTGGGGATAACTCCATTAGTGCCTTCTGAAGTACTCTGTGAGCAATTACTAAACAGTTGTTGCTGCTGTGCACATGATCATGACAGTATTGCATAGCTGAGCCTGCCTTTGGTGAGATCACAGCCTCACCGAGTTCTAGCAAGTCTCCTTGATGGACGGGCTGAATATTTCAAAACATACCTCCGAAAGATGTAGAGCGTTGACAGTGAAAACACTTAGGGCTGAATGGAGAGCAGGACGTGCTTACCCTACGAACAGAATTAGGCTTTCTCATCCAAATGGTCAACAAGTCATTTCACCCCAAATGCTTCTGGATGGCAATCAGACTCCAGCACTCACAATCTATTATTGTCTGCTCATTGTACCTGAGCAATGCGTTCAGCAGGGTCTCCTTAGATGGTAGACCTTATCGAATACCCACCAGTTTCAGCCAGTTGCCCCAGATGGGAAGTGGTCACATAAAATCTTTATTCATTTCCGCAGTCCCGTCAGGATGGAAATTGCAATCATAGGGGAAGGGTTTAGTAAAGAAAAAGAGTGGCCTGTGGAGAAGAATCTGAAGAGGATGTTGCACATCAGTTTGGGATGGTGAACTAGGCTGGTGGAAAGACCTCAGGGAGGGGTGAGTGTTAATATCTGCTGCCAACAATGGGTAGGCTTGGGATAGGTGAGGACAAGCACGGGAGAGGCAGGCATAAGATCAGACAGAGACCTGTGGGTGGACTCCACCCTACAAGAAGGGAATGCTGTGTCACACATGTACTTCTATGTAAATGCTGCTGGAGTCACTCAAAATACTTAGGAGGAGCCCCCACCCACCCACTTTTTAATAAGGTCTGTGGATATGGAAGAGTGTTTATGGGCTTTGGATGGAGATAGATCTGAACTGAGTTATAGCTCTTCATAGATACATAACCTAGACAAAATCAGTTACCCTCTTCCTGAGCTTTTATTTCTCTCATCTGTAATATTTTAGAGGCATCTGAAGTGCCTGTGTGTGGGCATGCATACATGCATGTACAGTATTGTGGTGGCGGCAGGGGGCAGTGTTGTGGCTCATCAGGTTAAGACACTACTTGGAAGACCCACATTCCATATCCAAGTTCCACCTGCTGTGCTTCCATTCTAGCTTCCTGCTAAATGAGACACAGTAATTGATGGCTTCAGTGCTTGAGCCCTTGCCACCCACATGGGAAACTCACATGGAGTTCCTGGCTCCTCGTTTCAGCCTGACGCAGCTCATCTGGGGAGTGAACCAATAGCTAGCAGATGATCCCAACCCCCCCATTGCTCTGGCTTTCTTTATCTTTTTAAGGATTTATTGTATTTATTTTGATAAATGTGACAGAGGTGGGAGAAACAGAAGAGAGAGATCCTCCATCTACAGATTCACTCTCAAAATGGCTAAAACAGATAGTGCTAAGCCACTTTGAAGCCAGGAGACAAGAATTCCACCTATGTTTCTCCTATGGGTAGCAGGTGCTCAAGTACTTTCCTGGGTGCACTAGCAAGGAAATGGATTGAAAGCAAAGTAGCTGGGACTTGAACTCACCTTCCAGTACCACTGCATCACAAATCTATACGTAATTTAACAAGCATAACTGGTACTTACTAAAGGACAGTTAGAATTCATGTTAAGAATTTTCTCTATAGGTAGGATAAGTTCGAGTGCAGTTCAATGTCTGATGCTTGTCTAATAGTGTTCCCTCAGTTTTGTAGGTAACAGATTCCTATAATACATGTCTTTTCTTTGCCATGTTATTTGCTTTGTGGCCATGTTTGTTTTCTTGCTTCTTTCTGTTACAAAGGCTTACAGATTGGAGAGGGGATGAGAGTCAGATTATCAGAGGTCACCATTAAAGCTCCTTTCTCCAACCTCTGGCCTTGAACGGTGTGTGTGAACATTTTCACTTTCCATACAGATACCGTGGAGCAACCAATTAATCCTCATTGATAGACCAGTTTTACCTGTTTAAGTTAAGCTGTTAAAATTGGTTGGGTTGCAAACACCCACACTTGATTTTTTTTTCTCATCCGTGTCGCTTTACGTGGCCAAGACACTTTTTTTTTTTTCCAGATCTTAAGTAAACTTCTTATTTTGGCAGTGATTCAATCTGAAGGCGAGATGCTTTAGGGAAGTCGTAAGCAAGAAAGTTATGATGATCATGCTGTTGATGGTAATGATAAAATGTTGTATTTGTATAGCATTTAGCCATATATGAAAGTGATTTCACATTCTAAAGGCAAATTGCTTAGGAAGAATATTATCCAACTTGGAATTGTGTAAGATACAGTGCTGCCACAAAATTGTTCCTTTCAAGAACAAGTTTTAACCTTGGATGGCAGTTCATGCTCACTCCTCCCTGGGAGGTAAGTGATACACAATGTTGATTCCTTTTGATAGCTAGGGAAACTGAGGCAGGAAACCATTAAACACTGCGTGGGCATGCTGCCAAGACATCTAGTGAGTTCAGTTGAAAAGCTAATCAGTCATACAGATGTTGTTTTTGTACGCTGCCAAACATCTGGATTCACTGAATGCCTGACTAAAGTGACCCACCGTTTTGGTGATGGGGAAGTGGAATCGAGTTAACTTACCTGTGTTCACATGCAAGTGGATAATGAATTGGGGAGTAGAATTATTTTCCTGAGCCCCTTTCTTGAAGCTGTGTCTATTGTAATACTATAGTAGACTCTCACCAATGCTACTTAGAAATACAGGGATACATTTTTTTCTCACCCTATGCATGCACGCTTCTATATATCTATCCACATAAGCAGCATGCAGCTTAGGCCATTTCTGAGTCCATTGCCCCCCACCCTTTTTTTGTTGTTGTTCGCTTTCAGGGAAATTCTTAGCTGCCTCCTTTCGGGTTTTGCTTGTTCTTGGTAGCCCTGGAAATGCTATACCCACTAAGGGACTGAAGCAGCACCATTTCCATATTGACAGTCCCATGGTGTAGCCTT